TAAAATCTACCGCAGGACGACGCGGCCAACGCGACGCGACGCGCAGATGGCGCGGCGATAGTGGCGCAGGGCGCGCACAGATCGCCGCGCCGCGCCGCGCTCAGATCCGCGCTGGATAGCGGCACGATTCAGAAAAACAGCGGCCCGCCTGCGCCGCTGCTGTCGCAGGGTGCCGACACTGCTGTGGGGCGACATGTGGAGGGAGGGTGTTGAGGGAGCGCTGAGAAGCTTTCATGGCTGGGTGTGTTCAAGCGGATAATTAATTTAGTGAGTGAATATTTTACGTTATTGGTCGGCATGGTTGTAGAAGCACTTGCATCTTGTTCTTCGGCCTTCTATCTTTTTCACGAGGTCTAAGCATCGTAACCATATGATTCGGCGTTGCCCTACTACTTTACCTACGGCCTAACTAATGTCAATTCGTCTTTCCTCACCACTCCAAACGCTCGTCCTTCGTTTCTTCCTCCATGCTCCATCCCCTCCCCTCTCGTCCCGTCTGGCCGCTCTCGTCTCTTCGTCACTCTCTGCGGGTGGTGTCTGGGGACAGACAGTGCTGACAGGAACTCAGTGGAACAGTACTTACAACATGTGGTGCTACCAGTACCGAGGCAACCACTAGTTGAAGTGGTTATAGTCTATCAACGACGTGCAGTCTGCCTCTCGGGGATACGGTGGAAAATCTGTTTTGAAGGTACCGAGACGGACTCGCTAGTCCGCTTATAAACGAGATGCAAAGTAGAACGCAACTTCGAGACAATTTCTACGAAAGAATCATTTATTTTCAGCAGATGTAGTGTTCAAGCTGAATAGCTTGCGACCTGTACCTGATGGCAGAGGTCAAAGTCCACATTTCTCCAGTTTGGGTGTTTACAGCTGGACCCAAGGCGCTGGACCTTTCAGAGGCCTGGCTGTTTAGAGTTCGGTCCGTGCAGCTCGGAATGTGAGGGCGTCCTCTTCGAACACGTGCCGTGCAATCTCTAATGATCCTCCAGCGTATTTGCATGGCTTCGCCTAACGGTTTCGGGTCTGCAGAATATCCAGATAGAATTTCATTCATCCCTCCATTAAACTGCGATGATGAGGTCATTGCAGCTTCCTGACCTTTCTTCAGCTGCACGTGCTCCTAACATTTGAGTCGCACCAGCGGAGAGGCTGATGATTTATTTATGCCTTCCTCGGTGTTGAGAAGCGTTTATATAAGTTCAAACGACATCTGGCGGTGTTCAATGACATCACGACTTCCGGGGCCGACGTTAGATGGCTAACGCAATGCCTTTGCTGTCTTGCCAATGTCATGACACCGGAAAGGGACAAAACTTTAAAAGAAACTGTTGATACCTGGCAGATTTGCTTTATTTGATTCACTTTCCTGTTCAGCTCCGATATTTTATTAATAATTTAATACAATTGCAAAGCAAATAAAACACATGTAAATGCATAGGTAGAACCACACTTGGTAAGACTTTGAACGAGGAGTAAAGGATAATAAAAAAACAGCACGACACTCGAATACATTGTTTCTTCTCTCTCCTTTGCCGTTTTCAGGATATAAGGATTAATCGGCTGCTATGTCGTAGGTACTTGTCCATCGGACATCTTCCATGCCTATAACCATGTTTAGAGACATGAGAAAATATATGACGAGCGCTACGCTTGGCAGACGACATAATCCGTGTTTTGTCGCCCACTTCTAAGCCGTCACGTCCGCTGAAAGGCCGCTGAAGTGCGCTGGCGACGATAGCCCTGTGGAGAGCCTATCTCCCCTCCCCATCAAATCCTCGGATTTCCCTCGCATAAAACCCCTGGGTAAACTGTCATTACGCAGATAATCAGCCTGTGCCTAGGCAGATGATTCTAATCACTGAAGAGCGGCCGGTTTGCGGCCGTCTGTGCTATAAAGCCTCGTTTACGGGTCATTGTCAGCAGACGACCTATCCAGGGCAGGAACAATGCACCGGCGACATTCCGTTGTAAAACGCCTGACGACCGAAAGCGTCACAAAAGTACCCGATGGCAGCCGGGACGATCCGGCGCCTCCCTGCAGCTGTCATCTCGGCTGTCTCGCTGTGACTGTTGGCCGCTGTGACAGCCGGTGGCGGGCCATCACCATCGGGGAGGAGCCGACACCCTGTCGATCGAGGTGCCGACAGACGCGTCACAACTGTCACAGCCGCGCCGACACCTGTCGCGGCCATCAGACGCCGTGCGACGATCACGACGGGCCGTCTTGGTGACGTGTCAAACCTGCCCGGTGGGCGACACCCAGGTCGTCCGATTCCCACGCCCGCGTGTGACGATATCACCACTCCTGACACCGACTCCGCCCCTGTCGCCCGGCGACGGTCTGCCCCGGCAACTCTCGACTCTCTCCGGTCTCCGGAAGACACATGGGGCGAGCCAAGATGGTCCAGAAGAGTGAATCCTCCCCTGACCTCCTCGGACCAGACAGGACCGTGGGACCGTGTACTCAGAGTTCGGCCCGATTAGCGCTCACGGGGCGCCTCCAGCCGGTCCGTCGGGCCGGCCGACCGCCCGGGAACGCGTCGTCGTCGTGTTGACAGCCCACAGAACGCCCTCCGCATCTAGCCGGCCGGCCGATGGCGCGATAGCCGCATGCCCAACGCTTTGTCCAGCCAGTCTGCCATTAATCAACACCTACCGCTGCCACCTGGAGGTGGGCTGGGTCCGGCCGGGTCCGGTGGACCCGGTGGACCCGGCGGGTCCGGCTGGGTCCAGTCGGGACCGGACGAGGGCTCTGTATTACGGAGCGTCGGAGCAGTCACTCTAGTTTGAGGAATTCACCGCGAGTGCGTCGGAAGAATGCCATCGGTTGGCTTGGTAGGCTTAATTGAGCATAAGCAATGTTCGTGATTTCACCGAATGGGTTTGCTTAATGAGGTAAAGGCTGTGGTCTATACGATAAAAGTTTCGTTTGTCAAGGGCATAGCTCACAATTCACAGTAACATGCGCAAGCTTCCATTCATTTCAGTAAGCAGCTCAGCCGTTTCGACCGTTTCCTTCCTCGGTGTCCACATTTTTATAGCTCCGTTGCCTTATGTTTTGTTTGCTTTGTTTCATCAGTTGAATCCCTGTCAGCAAAGGATTTGCCACTACCTACCTTAGCTTCCCGTATCCTCCATCACCCAATTAAGGTAAGCAGCGTGTTCGCAGGTGAGAAAAGTCGAAAATAAATGACCATTTCGAAAGATTATCTTCATTTTCATGGGCCTGTACAGAAGCAGAAGATTAAAACTGCACGACATATATAATATATACTGTTTTGTTACACCCTAAAACCACACGGAAGCCGCAAACCTTACTGATCTCGCCAATGTTAGACACTGATCCCCATAGCGAGTGCGAGCCCCGCACCTGCGCTGTTAGGAAGTGTCGGCAGATGCACAGTGCACAAACACCAGGAGAAGTGCCGTGCATGTGCCGAGAGGTCGGGCATGAGGAGCAGCTGCCACGTGGCGGTAGCACACGGCGTCACGCGCTCACGCATCAGTTACTCAGTATCAGTGGAAAAGAGGATCTCTTAGCCACGCTCGTGAACGATTTCAGGTAGAATTGCTCATTAGCTCATCATTACTCAGTCGGTGTATTGAGTGTCGGTTCACCGCCGAGCCGTCTGAGGTTGTGGGGCACGTGTGCGAGTCCCCGCCGTCGCTCGGTCGGCACTGCCGTGTGCCGCCGCCGCAGCAATTAATTCTGTGACGTCATCATCACTCTATGGGGTCGTTACTCTGCCCCCATTAGCGGTGTTCCTGGGTCCAGGGGGACGTGTGGCGAGGGCAGGGGACTGCAGGGGAGGCAGCGGTACCCGCCATGTTGGCTGCAGGCCGGGGCCGTCCAGCCAGTTCGGCGCCCGCGGCGGTATGCGGACGGCAGTCTGCAAGTCAGACCACACGCGACGGGGTCTAATGGGATGGCGGACGGCTGCGTCGTGTCGGCCGGTGAAAATGGCTGGGCTGCGGCGGCTCTGAGCTCGCCTTTGGTGAAGCGATGTTTGATTTGAATATCAAGCTGAACAGCAGAAAGCAGCTAACATATTGCTGCTGATTACCTAGCTACCATTGCTGAAATGGTTCATCCGTGACTAACTTTCCTCCCATTCAGAGTCTTACTCTACCGTTAAACGTCTACAGCGATCGCTTGGAGGTCGGTCGCTGACATATTAGAGGACGGACTTCGCGTACGTACGTACGGTCAACTGCTCATGGAACAGTCTTGAAGGCTCTTACAGCACCTAGCTTCTTGCAGCACGCACGATAAGGACACGTTAATAACTATTACCGACAACACCTACGGCACACCAAGTCACACAGACAGACGGTCCTCGGTATATTACTTTATTAGCAGCGATTGCGTTTCACAGAAACTAGGCAAGGAATAGCCACAACTCTATCATGCATATAAATTATTAATAATAGGTAATATTAACCATCGTTGAATCACCAAAACCAAATTCGTAAGAGTGCTGCACTTCCCAAGACTTTGACAGCCTAAACCGCTACACCATTGGAAACTACGTACTGCACATTGGGAATGATGTAATCGTTCTTTCGCTCGCAGAATGACATGATAAGTTAAACAGAATCGATATTTAAGCGCGAGACGAGATTCGTTTGAAGGTAGTAAAGGCCACGAAACGGACACCAACAGCGAGAGGCAGCTAAAAGTGGTGCGTGATCGACAAGATTTTTTTAGGGTTTCGCGATGCTGCAGCTCAAGACATGTGTGCGAGTGAGCAGTGAGCGGTGAGCACGCCAAACAAAAACAACGCCGAGGACAGCTGAGCGGTCCAGATCACCCAGAAACATGTGATTCTGAACCCACTAATGACACCGACTCTTTGAGTGAAACATTGCCGACAATACCGATGACAAGTGGTAAATAAAAAGAAAAAGCAGACGTTTACTGCAGAACAGCTGTGGCGGGTGGATGACAACATAAGAATGCTGAGACTCTGCGGTCGTCTGCAAGGCTGGCTTCAAAGACGAAACACTTGACTTCGGTAACAGCAAAAGAGCAGAGGTTAGATTAAATACATGCGTGGTAGGTAACTCAAGTCCAGGAGTAATAAATCCTGTAATACCAAACTTCTGTAGACATAAAAAGCAAAGACTCTTTCAGCCACCGATTTGTCACACAGACGAGCACAATCACGCCGCGGGGATACACACGCATAACACGCGAAATAAATCACTGTTTCATCACAACACTGGTACTTCATTCCAAGTGGCATTGCTTACATCACTGCTTGTATCAGCGCGCCAACGTCACTGAATGACAGTCTCTGACGTCACTGCCAGCAGTTCTGACGTCACCAGACCTGACCAGGGTCTATTAAGTATGCAACCCAGGTCACCTTGGGCCTTACAAAGTCCAGCATATCCCAGGTCATCACCCTTTCTACAAGACAACGCACGTGCTAATTTTGAGAGTATTCCATAAGCACATGCTTCATTCTTCGACGTCATGATCCGATTCAGCGAGACCATAAAGCTGAAGTGCGAAAATCACCAACAAGCCAATCAAGAGAGCTTTGAAGTCCGATGAACTTCCTGCGCTAGGGGTACGGCCTGATGCTCGTTTCTCCGACGCGTCTGTGAGAGGACAGTGTTGAAGTGAACGGAGTATATCCACAGGTGGTAGGCCGGGAGTCACTCGCGCCTGGCAGCTGACACGGACGGAGTGTGCGGGTCCACCGTTCTGTTCGGCTCACAGAGCCCCCATTGTCTGCCGCCGGTAGGTCACCTTGTGCGCCGCCGCGGAACAGCCGTCAGGTGTCCTCTGAGTCTGCAGTAGATGCTGAGTGCTGACGTTGCCTGCGGCTTCCTCCGAGCTCTTTAGATGTCCGTTCCCCGCGGGTTCAGAACTCGAGGTTCCAGAGTTGCACAGCGTCCAGCAACATTTGAGACTCATCCCAGTTCCGACGGTTTCGCACTCGGGATGGTGTTGCTGCCCAAAACTTGAGCGCTGTACAGCCTAACCCACCACCCGTGACGGGGTCACCTCTGTCGACCTTTCGAAGAACCGAAAAAGAAGCCGAAGCTTGACGAAGTCACCTTGGCGTCGTCGTCGTCGGAGATGGCGTCGTCGGCAGCGGAGGCGGTGGATGCGGAGGCGGTGGATGCGGAGGTGGTGGCGGCGGATGCAGCGGCGGCGGTCAGGCGTTGTCGGAGGCAGCCCCGTTTGACGGCCACCCGCCCCACTGTCACAATCCCGGGTACTCCTGAAGCAGCTCGTGGCCTCCGGACAGCGGCAGCTGACCCAGCTGGCTGTGGTACATGGCGGCGGCGGCGGCGGCGGCAGCGGCTGCTGACGGCGCGCCCAGTCCGCCGCCCCCGCCCAGGGGGTCGCCGCCCCCGCCGCCGGGCTTGAAGTCGAACATGGAGGTGGGCTGCACGCTGGTGTGACTCTGCGAAAGAGAAAGTACCGTCAGTGATTTGGAAAACGCCATTTTGGATTTGCTACTCGTCTAAACGAAACACATGCTGATGCAAACTTAATTGAACAACAGCGTTGTAAGTAAAAATAAAAGTAAAGATGAAACATTTGCAGGGGAAAACGACAAAAAATTGCCTTATTTTCATTGAACTTTTACGATGTTACAGCACACAAGGTCACACGAAATGCACAGGTTTGGTGGGTGGTGAAAACGTTCACTGCTCAACCGAATCCACAAAATATAAAATATAAAATCGAGCACAGAGAGTCAATAATGCTTCCAGATGTAACGGGAAATGCCAGTGACGATGCCGACAGAGCTTCGAGTTCTACACAGAGTTTCCATTTCCAGAGCCACCTCTAGCGCTGGGAAAGCGCCGGACCAGAATCACCGTCCTGACGCGACACAGGACGCGACAACAAGACAGACGGGGTTGTCCGAGCTTAGGACGGTCGCCACTCGGCCCAGCCGTTCACGGAAACGGCCTGCAAAAGTCGCCGGTCGCTCAGACACCGACTCAGACCATCGTGCACGGCCAAGGCGGCGCGGCCGTCTGGTCGGCCGTTCCGCGAACAGTGGACAATGAAGATGCAGTTCGTCCCGGTCGATTACACGTGTAATCCGCGGCGCCCGGCCGACGGCCGACGGCTGCCGAAATGACTCATTATTCAGGTGCTGTAGCAAACAAATGGCCGGACAAATCTTGCCGTCTGATCGACACGGTGGGAACGACACAGATCCCGAGGATACGGCGCCGACAATCACCAGATAGAGGCGAACGTTTTGTTGCACGCGACGGCACTGGTTTGCAGCGTGCAAATAAAATAATTCAAGGTATTTTTGTCTGGCAGCTTGCAAGTTGCAATTGTGGTAATCGAATGGTCTTAAAACGTGCAATTTGAAGGTCTAAATGATGCATTATTTGTTCAAATTGCCCTCATTTAAACGATGTCAATTCTATTAGCTTTGGAAAGTGTGGTAACTGGCCCATTAGACGCATATAGCAATATCCGCTGACACCACCAGGCGCGTATTTATTCATCTTAATGTTATTGCAGTGATGTATAAGTTCCTAGTGCTAAGCAAGCAATTGCATTAATTCTAATGACAGCCGATATAATTGCACTAACGAATTAACCCATGCATTCATTGGACAAACACCTGCATTGGGAAATTCCGGCATTAGGCTAAATATAGTGCAAAGTTGGCTTTTATTTCATGAAATGCTTGAGTCTTAAATTAGCGTGAAAAAACTCTTGCAACTCCGCTATCTTTTTTTTGGCGAATCGGTACCGTCTGATTAACCCATTAATGCCGCTTGGGTCATATATGACCCAAAAGCAAAATCTTAATGTTTTTTCTCAATGGAGGCAAGTGGCACTTTGAGGAACTTGTGCGTGTGTTTTGTTGGATTTGTGGGTTCAGTGACGAGCGCCTGAGCCGCATAAAACTTGTGTGAGCTCGTCCACTGAAGTTTCTGGAGCCAAAGACGACGGGACTGCACAGCCGCCGGTCACTGGCGATGGCGCGCCGCCCCAAAAAGTAATATTATATTATGTTTGCACTTTACTATCTGTTGAATGATCGTCCACCTGGCATTTAAATTTGTCTGAAAAAGGCATGATGTATAATTTTGCCCTTCTTGTCGCCATCGGATAACTTTTTTCCTCGGTAAATATCCTTGGGTCATAAATGACCCAGCCGGCAATAGTGTTGTCAATTTTCTCGTATGTTGAATACAAGGGAAGCATTTGATGATTATACGATTATTTATTTCTGGGGGTTGTGATCAGATCACAGTGGCGGATCCAAAGGAGAGGGGTCATATGGGTCACTCATGACCTCCCTTGGGGCCCGGGGGCACCACCGACCTATTAGGGACACCACAGGCCTGACAGGGGCACCACAGGCCTAGTGTTGCGATGTTATGATATCATGAGTGGACCGGTCGTGCGGGGCCGTGACGCGGGGCGGGCCGGCGACTCGGCCGGCCGAGGGGCACCACGGGCCTGTCAGGGGTACCACAGGCTTGTTAGGGGCACCACAGGCCTGCAGGAGCACCATCGGCCTAGCAAGAGCACCACAGGTCTGCCAGGGGGCACCACAGACCTGCCAGGGGCACCAGAGGCCTGCCAGGGCCAGGGGCACCATCGACCTCACAGGGGCACCACCAGCCTCGCACGGGCACCTTGGGCCTGTAAAGGGCTCCACGGGCCTGTCGGGAGCACTTCAGGCTTATTAAGGGCACCACAGTCCTGCCAGGACCCAGGGGCACCAGCGGCCTAGCAGGGGCACCACAGGCACGCCAGAGGCACCACAGGCCTGTCAGGGGCACCACATGCCTAGCAATAGCACCGCAGGCCTGCCAGGGACTCCACAAGCCTGTCAGGGGCACCTCAGGCAATTGTCAGGGCCCAGGGGCACCACAGTCCTTCCAGGGAAACCACAGGCCTGTCAGTTCTATGAGCACCAGAGGCCTAACAAGGGCACCACAGGCCTGCCAGCGGCACCAACGGCCTCGCCAATGAGACGTTGCAAAGCATTGCAATGCAGTGCCTCTTAATATTGTTTGGCTGAGGCCGCTATACAGTATACACAATAAGGTATCTAGCTAAATTGGTTTTCGTGATGACTCCTTATTTGTGACTATACTAATGCCGGTTGGGTCATTTATGACCCATGCTTATAACTTGAGAACCGATGGAATTTCTTTTTTAAGCTTGCACAGTTTTCTTACTGGGACCCGTGTGGCTAACATTTGTTAAGGACAACTTAAGAATCAAAAAATAAAAATTCCGGCATTAATGGGTTAAAGGGACTGTCCCACCTTTGCATTAGTTCTGAGTTGAGATAGCCAAGTTGGCGGCCAGGTTCAGAAACCACTATATATCCTGGTCGCAATATCCTCAGTTTCGTGGTGTTAAAGAAATTCGTTCCCTTCATTTGAAAAGTGGGCCTTAGCTAAGGCCCTATCTCTTAAAGGGACTGTCCCACCTTCAAAAAATTGCTTTGATATACTGTTCTTGTGTTGCAAGACATAGATTAGGGGCCCCTGTACACGAAATTGGCAAACATTCGGCCCATAGTTGGCTAATTGTTTAAAAATTCCAATTTAAAGCTTTTGGATCGATTACGTCATATGATTGTTTTTTTTTTATCGGGCAAAGTTTTTTTCCTAGCTGCCAAATCGGTGGCACAAAGTTTTGTTACGCTTCTGCCGCGAATAGTACAAACATTGCGCATGAAATCAAAACTCAAGAAATTGGTATTTTAGTAACATGCAAAGTAACACAAACATGTTCAATGTTCATGGAAAGGATTGAAATGAAAATTGGAAAATTGAAGCTTGAACTTTGTCAAGAAGAAGGTCGCAAACTGCAAAGAATATCAACAAGGCCTTATTTATCATTTTTAAAAGATTATAGAATGCTCCCTAATAAGCAAAAGCAAGATATTGATGTTTGATTATTGATGCTGCCCACAATGTCTTGGGCACATGGATGGTGGAAGTGAGCTCAACTTTTGATCAGACCTAAGAATCACAATGGATATAGCCATGAGCCAGACTGCAAAGTATGGCAATTTTGTCCAGATGTTGTCAGTGCAGACTCCTTCGTCTGGTGCGGATTTAAGTGTGGTGCGGTGTGGATTTGGTTTGGTGTGGTGCAGATTTAGTGTAGCGGGGTGCAAAGTGTTCTCTCAGCCCCCTTTGGTGTGAATTTTCTGGCTCAGTTTGCAGGGTTTGTGTAAATTTTGAACTTAGGCCAGTGCTCCTTGGCGACCTGCGAGCCATACTCTGCAGTACTGGCCTGGGCCCATGAGCAAAGTAATATAATATAGTCTGTTCAAGATTCAATATAATAAGTCTGCAAAACACATTCCAGCAATTGTAATTGAAGCAGAATGAATTGTAGTGACCTGCATTTGTATTTTTGTTGTGTCTGTGAAAAATAACCAGTATAACGCCTTATGGGGCGACTAACGGAGCGAGCGAGAGGGTGGGCCTTGCACGTGCGAAATTTCGAGGGGGTACCTCCAACTGACTTGTGCACGGCACCCTACTAACCGGTCTCTAGCGATGTGCCAAATTTGAGCACAATCGGCCCAGCCGTTCTCGAGATCTGGAAGCGGCACCCTGCACGTGCGCACGTGCAAAATGGGTCCCAACTGACTTGTGCACGGCACCCTACTAACTGGTCCCTAACCGTGTACCAAATTTGAGCGCCATCGGTCCAGCCGTTCTCGAGATCTGGAAACGACCCCTGCACGTGCGCACGTGCAGCAGCACCCCAACCTTAACACATGCAGATGAATTATCTGATGGAGACCTAACTGTGTACCGAGTTTCAATTCAATCGGCCCAACCGTTGTGCCGTTATTGAGGTTGCAATTTTGGGGGTTCTTAAAAAATGTCCAACTTTACCACGCGCCACGTGCGGTGGTTGGCAAGAACGCATGGTGGCCATCACACCACAGAACTTTTACGTCCAAGTGACATTCAGTAAAGAAGACCGCTTGTCAATCGGATGTCCCGTTCCTAAGATATTAGCTTTTGAAGAGCGTCCCCACGGCCGGCCGGCCGGCCGGCCGCTCATACTCAGAAATTTCCCTTAATTCAGTATGAGACTCCGCTCGCTTCGCTCGCTCCGTAATAAATATACCTACTTATTGGAAAAATCGTGGCCTTTCAGCACATTTGGCAGAGTTGTGTGACTCTGATGTAGTGGCTCATGTGGAACGCAACGAGCTGCCGAACAAGCTTGAATAGCATTTTGCCTCAGGGCTATCTGCCAGAAACATTTCATCTGCATGAATTTATCTACAGGCAAGTCTGACAAATTTGTGGATTAACTGGGGACCTTGTAAGCCTGCATATTAGGTAAATTCTAGCCTACCAGCTCAGCCCTATCCTCAGTTTCAGCATTCAGCATGATAACAGTTCTGATCAAGTTCTGATTGTCACCACTGAG